CACGGGATGCCCGCTACCCCAGGTCGCAGATAGCAAGCCCGATGGCAGCAGGGCAGGCAGGATGGCACTGTCCCGCCCCACTGCCCCGGGTGGCAAATAGCAGGCAGAGATGGCAGCGGGGCAGGCGGGATGGCACTGTCCCACCTTGCCGGCAGTATGTAAATTAGCCGCCATCTTTGTTGGCGGTTAATTTGCATGTCGTGCTGATTAGCCAATGGGAGGCATAGCAAAGGTATGGTCAATTACCATGTTTGTCTATTATTAGATAGGATGATCTCACTCATATATGACCTCTAATGAACAAAATAAACCAGAGATGAACAAAATAGATCTAGAGACAGAGAAACATAGAACAGACTGTCAGATCTTAGAGGGAAAGTGGGGTTGGTTGGGTGGGTGGGTGGGTGGGAAGAGATCAACCAAAGAACTGGTAGGCATACATATGTATAACCCATGGACACAGACAATAATGTGGTGAAGATCTAGGGTGGAGGTGGGGTGAGCTAGATAGGGTCAATGGAGAAAAAAAGGGACATACTTTCAACAGTAAAGATTAAAAAACTATATATATAGAACAAAATAGACAAAGTTTCTGATCTCATGCAACTAATGCTACTGAGAGAGACAAGTATATTCTATATTCATAAAATGCTAAGTGACAGACCATCCGTCTGTCTGACCAGCTGATGCATATGATATGCCCTGGCAGTTTAAAAATAAACATTGACTTGTGCATGCATGATACATACAAAGCTCTCACTGGCGCCAACTGCACATGTGTTTTAATTTTAAAATACTACTAGAGGCCCGGTGCACAAAATTCATGCACAAGGGGTGGGGGGTCCCCTTAGCCCAGTCTGTACCCTCTCCAATCCAGGACCCCTCGGGGGATGTCCTCTCACAATCTGGGACTGCTGGCTCCTAACTGCTCACCTGCCTGCCTGATCACTCCTACTGGACCCCTGCCAGCCTGATCACCACTAACCACCTCTGGCTGCTGGCCTGGTCACCCCCAAATGCCAACCCCCCAGGCCTGGTTGCCCCTCACTGCCCCCCCCCTACCAGCCTGGTCACCCTTCACTGCCCCCCGCCCTCCGCTGGCCTGGTCACCCCACATAGCCTGTTCAGTCGTTTGGTCATCCCTCACTAACCCCCTTGCCGGCCTGGTCACCCCACCCAGCCTGCTGGTCAGTCATTTGGTTGTCCCTCACTAACTCCGCTGCCGGCCTGCTGCTCAGTCGTTTGGTTGTCCACACTGCCCGCCCCTGCTGGCCTGGTTGCCCCACACAGCCTGCTGCTCAGTCGTTTTGTTGTCCCTCACTAACCCCCCCGGCCGGCCTTGTCGCCCCACACCTGTTTGGTCATTGTTCAGTTGTGATGGCCCCTGGCTCTTTATATATAGAGATATTATATGTACTATTTTGACATGTAATTTTTTGCAGTAATGTAATTGCTGCATGAATCTTTCTTCTAATTAATTTCCTTCAATGTGCATGAATCCGTGCACCGGGCCACTAGTAAATACATAATATAATATCAAGTATTAGTAAGAAAAATTGAGCAGGACAAGGATGTACAGAGTGACGGGTGAGGGACTGATTTTAGACCAGGAAGCCTAAAGACAAAAGTTTCTAGTCAAAGAAGTCCTCTTCCACTTTTAGGTATATATCCAAAACAATCGAAAGCAATGTCTTGAAGAGATATTTATACACCTAGATTCATTGCAGCATTATTCACAACAGCCAAGAGGTAGAAACAATCCACATGTCTACTGACATATATGTAAAGAAAATGTGGTATATACATACAACGGAATATTATCCAGCCTTAATAAAAGAAGGAAATCCTATTTTATGCTACAGTATGGATGAAACTTGAGGACATCATGCTGAATAAATAAGCCATTGCAAAAGGACAAATTCTGCATTATTCTACTTATATGAAATATCCAGAGTAGTCAAAATCATGGGAACTGAAAGTAGAATGATGGTGGTTGGGGCCTGGAGGGCAAGAGAGCTGAGGAATTGTTTGATGGGTAGAGAATTTCAGTTTTACAAGATAAAAATATTCTGGAGATCTGTTGCAAAACAATGTGAACATGGTTAACATTACTGAATTATACATTTAAAATGATTACAAGACTAAATTTTATCTTTTTTAACCACAAAAGAAAATGAGCTATCAAGACATGGAGAAAATTTAAATGTATATTATTACTAAGTGAAAGAAACTAATTTGAAATTATTTCATTTATTTTGTTATAGCCATGCTTGACTCTTTGCTATTCCCTGGGCACAGTATTGAACTCATTTCGCATCAGAGTTTTTGCACCAGCGTCCACTTTGTCTGGAATGTGGCTATATGCTCTATGATTTCAAATGACAATGTGAGAACGACAAAACAATGCAGACAGCAAGATCAGTGGTTGCCAGAGGTTAGGAGGAGGGAGGGATATATAGGCAGAGCACAGAGGATTTTTAGGGCAGTGAAACTATTATGTATGATACTATCATTATATATTGGTCAAACTCATAGAATATATAACACAAAGAGTGAACCCTAATGTAAACTATGGACTTTGGGTATTAATTATTTATCAGTGTAGGTTCATCAATTATAACAAATGTATCACTCTGATACAGGATGTGGATAGTCAGGGAGATTCTGGGTGTGTATTTGGAGACCAGAGGTATATGGGAACTTTGTACTTTTTATTAATTTTGCTGTGAACTTAGAGTGCTTTAAAAAGGGGGAGAGGGCTCTTTAAAAATGACACCTAGCCCAGCCAGTATGGCTCAGTGGTTGAACATCAAACCATGCACCAGGAGGTTGCTGGGTGGATTCCTGGTCAGGGCACATTCCTGGGCTGCGGGCTCAAGAAGGCAGCTGATTGATGATGTTTCTCTCTCATCAATGTTTCGATCTCTCTCTCCCTCCCTTCCTCTTTCTCTAAAAATGAATAAAAACATTTTTTAAAAATGATACCTAAATAGTGACCAAGCAAAATACTGAGCTTTGGGAAGCTCTAGGAAAAAAACATTCCAGACAAAGTGAACACTAGTGCAAAAACTCTGATGCAGAAATGAGTTCAATTCTGTGTCCATGGAACAGCAAGGAGTCAAGCATGGCTAGAACAAAATAAGTAAACTGGAAAGTGGTGGGAGATGAAGTCTGAGAGAGACAGAGGCTGGATCACAAAGACTGTTGGCCAACTCAAGGAGTCATTCTATGCATATCAGTTTTCTCAATAAATATAGACACACAGTCTATACTTAAAGAATATTTTTTGATGAAACAAGTAAAAGCCAATATATAAAATTTAATAAAACTTTATTGAATCCCTGCTGTTAATCAGACTCTGTGATACATATTGAAGATATAAAATAGGAGTAGACAATAGCCTACTGGAGAGTTTATAGTAGAAAGGGAGAACACAAAATAAATCCTTTTATGTTAAAACTCAGGACTCTCTCTGAAATCTGAAAAAGACAAATTTAGATCATAAGAACAAAGTTCTGTTTTACCAATAACTGATAAAATTCCATTCTAAGAACAAAAAAATTATTCAAATATTTAGAATTTATGAATGAGAAAATGTGTAACAGAATAACATCTACATATATATCCTATCTAATAATAGAGAAACATGGTAATTAACCATAACTTCGCTACCCTTCCCATTGGCTAATCAGCAAGATATGCAAACAAACTGCCAGCCAAGATGGCAGCCGGCAGCCAGGCAGCTGAAGCGAACATGAACATGAGGCTTGCTTACTCCAGTGATGGAGGAAGTCAACGTTCCCCGCCTGCTGCAGCTCAGCTCTGAGCTCCGGATGAAATAATGTTGCAATTATAGAACCTAAATAAACCCCAGAAACCTGCTTTCAGCCAGAGCTAA